AAACGGATTGGTACCTGATGCTCCTTTCACGTTAAACGGAACGAATATCTCCGAATGCTCTAGCTATGTGTATCTAGGTCGGGAAGTCAACATGATGAACGACCTAGCTCCAGAGCTGTGCAGAAGGAAACGCGCCGCGTGGGGAGCATTTAAGAATATCGAGGGAGTAGTGAAGAAGACAAAGAACATCCGGCTCCGCGCTCACCTTTTCGACACTGCTGTCCTTCCTGCTTTGACGTACGCCTCGGAGACCTGGACTCTACGAAAGCAGGATGAGCATGCTGTCAGCGTTATTCAACGCGCTTTGGAAAGGACGATGCTCGGAATTTCCCTATACACGCAAGTGCAGAAGGGAATCCGGAGTTCCGAGCTCCGTCACCGAACGAAGATCAGGGATGCCGTTGATTACGCCAAGAAATCGAAGATCAGGTGGGCCGGACACGTTATGCGATATAGTGATGACCGTTGGACCAGGGCGGTTACTGACTGGATCCCTCGGGACATCAAACGAACACCAGGAAGGCCGCCGACGAGATGGTCAGACTTCTTCACGAAAGCTCTGAACGAAAGGAATGTTGAACCTCGTGTCCCTGAAGCGAGAACGGTTCACTGGACCACTTTGGCTCGTGACAGGGACGAATGGAGACGTTACTGGCGCCCGCTCGAGGATTTCGATGATCAACGGGACGACAGGTGATACAGGTGATGATTCACTTCTCGAGGAACACCTCCTAATACAAAGTCTTATTCCCAGGCATATTCAGCAATTCATGCTCTCTTCAGTGAAACGCTTCATTTTACTCTATGCAGAAAATATTTCTACGACATTCAATAGGTTTCCACATTTCTAGTTCACCTTTGAAGATTTCTGAAACACAAATTGGATTGAGAAATACCTAATGAAAGGTTGCAGAACACTACATGTAACTTTACCAAACGTTTAGGTAAAAATACGCCATTCGGGATGACCACCGCATGCTACATACTACAGTAAAGGTTCATAGGTGCTTATTTGGTCTGAAGCAGGTTCATAAACATGGTATTAACCCTACAGGTGTTTCCTCGAAACACCTCGCACCAAGGAAACTACAACAAGGTACATTAATAACCTATCGAAAATGAATAGCATTACCTTGTCTAGCGTGTACGTCCTCATATAATCAACAATTCCAAGAATCAATTCACCGTTCGTTTCATCCACTCCAACAAGTAAAGAGTAATCCATAACGTGCTGCAATGAGAAAATCATAGAAGCGCTAAAGGTCGGGAACTGTGAAAGTGATAAGGATGCTTTTCTTCCCACCCCTTTCGTTCCGCAATACAGGTGCTTTTAGTAATAAAAATTATTGTGATTATTAGCAAAAAACGTTTACTGCCACTCCTTTTTACCTGAGAACTCAGAAAGTGGCTGTCGTTGCTTATTGCCTGATTAAGAGCAGCTTTAGCGTGTGGGTAGATGTATAGTTGTTTGTTCCACAGATCCTTCATAAGATTTTCGTCCAACAACACAAGGTCTGACGTACTCTTTCCCGTTGAGGCCATTCTACAACCAGGCAGGAATAAATAGCGGAAAAGTGAAGCTATTCGTTCTGATACCCATAGGAGTACGAGAGCTAGCTACTCGATAACAAAAGAAGAAAAAGAATTGAGACGACCGACCGATTTCTCAAGGAACCTTTTAGATCCCATACTTGATCAACATTGTGCTTATAGAACAAATACTCCATAACCAGAATGTCAAATTTCAATTGAGTAGCTTTGCTTTTGTAGCCGACTCGGAATACACCGTACACCTAAAGAAGTAACATGCATAGAACGATCTATAGCCCTTCTGTAACAACCGTCTTTCCTTACTTTGCACAAAGCTGTCAGCTTGTTTTCGACCACAGCTGTTTTTACGTAATCGAAGTAGTGCGGTGCAAATTCAACAAAAGATTGAATTTCAAATCGAGACATCTGCTTCACAACAAAACGATCATCCTGGGTCCGATAGAAGAACGATCCAGATTTCCCTCCCTGGGAAAAATGACAGTTAGTCGTAGTCAGTATGAAGAACTTCCTAGGAGTACCTGAGGTGTCCAAAATGTACTTTGAGACAAAGAACGAATGAACGCTTCTTCGCCTTCAGTAAACAACAACTTGCGCAACAGCCGGAATCTCGCCGCATAGTACGCCTCAACGGAAAGGAAGACATCGAAGAAGAACGTCGAAATCTCATGGAAGCAGTACCTTCACATAGTAAGATGCTTGACTATCCTGAAATTCTATTTCAAGATGCTCTGCTGCTAACGCCTGTTCGTCCGATGATACGCTGCTCGAATTGAGATTGAGCGGAGGTTGCTCTCCTTTCGCAGCGTCTCGCTGTTTCCGTCGATTTTCCTGTAATTAAATGCAGTCTGTTGTTCACAACAAAACGATCATCCTGGGTCCGATAGAAGAACGATCCAGAAGTACGAAAGTTGAGCTTTTTTCAGAATAATAGGCCCATACGGAAGTAATTAAATGGCTCACTTCATAATCTGCTGATGAAAGCGCATATGCAATTATACTACCAATGTCAGGTTTATAGTTTCCTCTTGAATCCTGAAGAGAAGCACTTTTATAAGAATATTTCAGTGGATAGTTTTAAGGTTGAAAATCAAACATACCATGATGTCTCGCACAACAACACCAACTCTCGGTTGAAGTTTCAATCCAAGATGTAGATATGCTGGAAACGGGTCGTCTATGCGCTCCAAGCCAATGTCAACAGACTGAAAACATTTGCTAAAGTGGGACCTGGGAGCCTGAATAACCGCTAAGTCCACCTCAGAAGCTGTGCCATTATCCTCGGTGTTTTTCTTTACAGCACGGACTGTTGCCGCAAGCACAGTGCTTTGATCGTTCCATGTTGTTATGAGTTGATAAATAGCTTCACGAATATGCATCACGGCTTCATTGGCCTGAAAACACCTTTTCAAACTTCGTAAAAAGCGGACAGCGCGGGTATTAGTTATCTAAAGGTCGTGAAGTAAAGACTCAACCGCCTCTATTTCGACTATACGGTCTATATAGATATGATTTTGATTCTGTAATATTCAGAAAAAGGTTTTCACCCACCTTGACTGCATATATGTCATTGGACGGAATGATTGCGCGATCGACGGCGGTCAGTTCATCCGCGTATTTCCGCTTCACTCTAATTCAATAAAAATTATTGAAAAGATAATAGAAGGACATCGTTCTACGACCATTTACATTACAGTTAGCAGTGTGACAAGCAGCGAGCTTATCGAATGACCGCCCTTTCATTACTATGAAATGATTAATGCAAGAACAGAACTGAAACTCACTCTATCAAGGCGATGGTCTTGTCAACCACTTGACGAAGCACTGTATGGAAAGTACCAGCGTACTGGCTGTAATGGTCATGTTGGGTGAAAATGCGCAGCCGATCTTCTGCAGTCCGAACAATGTCATCAGCTAATGAGGACATTCTGAAACAATCACCAAACATCCGTCATGTATTTAGGTTGAGAGTCACCAAGTTTGACATACCTTGTAACGCCATCTATAAGGGCTTGCTTGCTGTACTGATTTGGAACAATCCGGCACTGTACAGGCGAAAACTGGACATTGTAAGGGCGAACCTTAACATACTCTATCTACTCTTTTATCAGAACTTTGGAATCTAGAACGCAGAGCAATCGAGAGAAAACTCACCGAAGAAACTTTGAAGCTAGCAACGTAATTGCCTTGCGAATAGAAATGGGTGTGTTCGTGGAAAAAGCAGTGCGGACAGTCTTGTCGCACGGGAGAGGTCACGTCACCCTACAGATGGATTATTATTAATCCAGCCTCAGCAACAGACAGCTCAAAGAGGAAAAGTTGAGAACATATTAGCATAACAACTGCTACGATACGCTATCGACGTAAGAGTTAAATCAATTAGAATTCATCACCTGCGCGAAAATAGGAAAAAATTTAAGAAATTTCGAGGTGAAATTATCATGAGTATTTAGATAAATTCAAGTCGGAAAAACATATATACCTTAGAAAACCCAGTGTGAGCGATGTAATCAAGATATTTACCGAACGACAAGTGCCAAACAGAGGTATTCATTGGCACAACAGGAGATGATAGTTTGCAACTGCAAAAAGAACGTTCTCTTCTGAAATAAAAGAAACTAAACCAGCTTCAGACCTCTCGCAATAATTCCAAGCGTAAATCTGTGTAGGCGAGGCGTTGGCAATAGAGGATTCATCTGTACCACTCACGACAATCTGGGTAGTAACTTCAACACAGACACGTCCGTAAACCTAAATCAGGTGGTGATGTGGGAACTGGAAAGATTTTATGGCTAGACTCACTAGCTTCCTGGAGTGGTCGAGCATGGGAACCTCGCAGTTCGTTGATGGACACTCGTATGACTTGCTGAAGCAGAATCTAAACAATCACTTTCACTCTATTTCGAAAGACGATCTTCACCTCTCTGAGGTTTCCTAGACTGCACAAAAACTAGGAGCAACCGTCATTCCGCTGCGATCAGTCACAACCTGATCGAGAGATAAAAATGAGCTACTTCACTACGAGTTAAAGGCAATGAGTGCACACAAATATTGGACCCAAACTGGATCTACCTACTTTGTGAGGAATTCCCCAAGGGTCATATCGTAAGATCCATAGAATTCCATATTGACCACCCATGGACGAACACAGAAATAAGGAGCGTTAGGTGATTTCGGAGAAAAGGAACCGAATAGAACAGCTATTCGCTGGTGAACATATGGATCTAGCATGTCGTGCCGCCGAATCCGCGGTCGTTCCTGAAAAATCATTTATCAAAGCAATCAACATAGTGGCTCGAGAAAACTCTAACTTTACTGTTCCTCCGCCCTTCTTCCTTCATCTTCCGTCCTTGAATACGATTTCTGAAAATAACGCCACCTAACGCACGAAATGAGCTGACATCTTCAATACTATCCGCGTCGCGAGCGCCACAGGTCGCATAGTAATGACGTGGAGTGTCGGGTAGGGGAATCTAAGAATGAAGAATGAAATAGAAATGTATGAAATTCATCTAAGTAAATAGTAACAGTAAATGCACACAAACGTTCTGCTGCTTATCAAGATATCGCTGAACTTCATCACCCTCTTCTGTCAAACGGGCATCGAAATCCTCAGCGGTAAAGAAATGATAAACTGGCGCGTTAAAGTACGGCAATAATGAACAGTTTCTGAATAAATAGCACTTTCTAACAGAGTAAACTGTCCTGAAAGCATTTGAAGCTATATGAACACACCTTCCTTTCACTGTTTCTAAAAAAGGAGGTTCGTAATCGATAAATGGTGAAGCGGATAGAACACATTCAACAAGAGCCTGTTCAAAAGTCGACTGAAAACAGAATCCTTTAAGAATAGGAAGAGAAGTATGCAAAAAACACTGATCTAATATTCACGAATTCATAGTTCTAATCGCTTTGGAAAGATTCTTTGAAATAGCATCACACTAGCATATCAGGTGTTAACCTCGATTTGACAAATCGTTTTTAACTAATATGATCAAGTCTATGAAATAGTTCGACCAGTTCCTTCTTGGACTTCCAATTTGCTGGAAAAGATGTGAAAACGAACACTTAACGAGATAAAAACTCACTTTCTCGGTATTCTGGTCGATAGCTTCCCTACGAGCTTCACACACATCACAATTAGATGTATGGTATACCATCCGAATATTGAACATATTCAAAAATGCAATCTCTAGTTGGGATGAGTATAAAATCGAAGTCAGAAATAGCAATATACGCTAAAAATTCACTTTTTGAGATTGCTAGTCGAGTTATGGGAACAACTTTAAAGATACTTCTGCCATAACGAAACTTATATATAAGTATAAAGTTATATATAAATTATATAACGAAACTTGCCTTTACAGCCTTCAATTCTCGCAAATCAGCACCTTTTAGAAGTACGCTACACCCGCGATCAGGAGGGCACTCATTGAGGACCTGAGGTGATGTGTTCGAATGACCACAACTACATAAGAATAAATGCAGAGACGCAATGTAGAAAAGCATACCAAAAAATGTTTAACGCGCCCATCCTTCAAAGTGATCGTTTGTTGAGCGAAATATGGACAGAAACCTATATTTTGCTGAATAAGCTGTGCATCAGAACTAGGAAGGATGTCGGCTCCCGTTGAGCGTGCTATCCGCTCCAGTACGCTGAAATGTTAAAATTTCATTAACCAAGTAATTCAGATTAAGTAACATTGAACCATAACTTACGTGGGTGAGTTCGAAAAATTTCAAAGCTACACGAACTTACCGTTGCCTTACATTCACCACAAGCCGTACACCCGCATCACGCAATAAATCTGATGCCAGTCTCGAAACACAACCCTCAACCAATAACAACGAAGGACGACGGGAGAGTATTCGCTCCACCTGAGAGTGAGATAGCCGATACATGTGTATTCTTACATATCAGCCTCATGGAAAGGTGCTATAATCAAGAGTAAAAATAAGAAGTATAGGCAATTACCTGCTTTGAAAGGAACTCTCCTTCTTGATTCAAAATAGGTACAAGTGAAGATAAACGTCCTTGGAACCGTTCGTATTCTATTGAACCTGCTACAATCATAACTGAAGCATCTCTCAAAGGCTGTGCCATTGACTCATGTGTCACAGTTTTACTGCATACTACACCCCACACAAGCTGTAAAAAGCGATAGAAGTAACGAAAATTGAGCAAACAAGGAAGGAGAATCATGGAGAACACATTTAGCAGCAGCTTACCTCTGCTTGAGGGTCCTCGTAATCCATATGAAATTTCTTTACATGCACATAATTCACAATGTTCATGTTATCACGTCTCTTCGCTACATCAACTTTTACAGTTTGTGCTATTTCTTTGGCAAGCTTGAGAATAATTGGCTTCCATCTGAATAGGATCTCATTGAAGGGAAGGCTTAGAAGTGATAAGCCACCAAAATGGAACATTCACGTTGTTAATCNATCAGTCTTACAGAAGATATTCAAGAAAGAAAATGAAGAGAACGAAATTTAGGCATTGTAGCTTTCGAAGGCTAATCGAAAATATCGTAAGGCTTCTAAAAGAAGCCAGATTTCTGATATGTTCTCGAGAAAATCAGGAATCTTCCAGCTATGAGAGATGAATAGCAAACCGAAAAAAGACAAAGAAACTCGAATCTCTCTACAAGCAGTGCAAACAGCCTCAAATTTACAGAGAAATTCGAAAAAAAATTTCTCTAACGTCAACCTGCCAAACTTAGAAGACATGAAAAGGCTTAAGTCATACTTGAGATCACGCAATCGCTCCCGAGAACAGAGATACGTCAGCAAGTGTTCAGCTCTGAGATCAAAAGCTCTATCAATGTCGCCATCAAGATGAGTTTTCGAAGGAGAAAGGGAAAGTGACGCTCTGCAAACAGTCAATATTAGTTTATATTTATGTAAATTATTTATTGGCGTAAAGCTCTCAGACAATAATGTCCACGAGATTAAAAAGATAGTGTTCTTTCGTGCTTTCGTTTAAACCAGTGATAAAGATAGGTTCTAAAAAAGCTTACTTGACAGATGATGACTTATTCTCGCTAATCTTCTCGCATGGAACTCCAACGGAAATCGGAAGAGGATCAAAGTGGTTTTCTGTCGAACCTGTTTCGCTGCTTCGTATTTTCTGAAACTGACGTATTTCTCAAAATGATGAAGAGAGCTAGAGCCTAACAAAGCTTCACTTTAGTGCAATGTTGACTTCGACAAGAGTTCGAAAACAGATAGCAAAGTGAATTGAGTTTCAAAATAGACTGCAACAACAATTGAGCTCACGCTATCGTCTTTGATGGAAATAAGCGTATCAGGATCCATATTGCGAAACCAATCTGGACCAGAGTCTTCATCCTCCTGGAGAGTGGCTCTGATTTTGTCCTGCAACGTATTGACAGTTTGACTTTCAGATCCTATTAAATTAGTCTATCTTCTCACAGCTCCAGCTTCTTGTCGGTTTTCGTGTTGTAAGTATAACTCATTCACACATAACAGTGATGGTGGCTTGGACTGAGTGAACGAGGTCTCATTCTCCAGTGGTGTAGCTCCAATACCGTACTGCCTATCAGACTGTCGAGCCCATAACATTGGACCTATAAAGGATGTACTGACAAAAAAGAAAAGGTAAAACAAAAGTAAAAATGGTCACGAAGCGTGTGTCAAGATGAGATGGGTTCATGAAAAACGTAAAGGTGAGGTTAAAAATTTAAATGACCTGCTGATACCGTGGAGATCACCGAACCAACCACGCTGAGCGAGTCCGCTTGACGTGCCGGAGGAGTGCTATTTACTATACCACAATTATCAAACTCTTCAGTAGACTGACGACGTTCCTCGTCTGTGGGTATATACTGCGCAACCATTTTTGCACAGTATTGACAAAGTCGCAGATCACCTATGTAACCTGAATAAATTAATATTAATAATAACTTTAAATTATGAGATAATCCTGAAACGATAAAAATCAATGGGAAACAATGTGATTCTCATACAAAGTTCGAGCAATGAGGAAGAGAGTTATTTGAAACTCTTATTTCCGCAGCAGAATTTTGCACAATTCTGAACAGCCATTGTTCAATTATAAAGACCAGAGGGGAGTTCTTTAGTAAGCTAATATGACGCAAAGTCAACTGAAGAGATGCTACAAAACAGCAAGAACCTCCATCGCTCCATTCACTCTATATTAACCTGGGGTACTAGAAAAAAAAGAGCCGTAGAGGACATATCGATGTCCTAGCACCTCCGAAATTCATTCCATTCTAGTCTCGAGCTTCCTGGTCTCAATACAAGTTTTCCACAGGTGTCGAAACGGAGATGTGAATTTTGCTCAAAAACAGCGCTCCTACTTTGCCCACTTTGTTTCAGACATCATGCTTCGAGTGCATACTACTTCAGGTTACTCGGCTTGGTGTGTCAAAATTTTTTACGACACTCTTCTTCAACTGAGCCGTGGAAAGTGAACTGCAGGTCCTTTTGTGGGCCTTCTAGCACATGTGGTATCTGCACGTTAACTTCTTGTCAAAGTTTATCTTAGAACAGTCTCCAAACTCATAAGTCACTACAGCTTAAAAGGGCATATGTGCATGGTTTTCATATTCTCAATATTGAAGATAACAAGGCTCTCCAGCATGAGATTTGCTTGTGGATAGCGAAAAATCGGAATAAATGCACATCTAAAACGGAATAATAACCACTAACAAAACACATACCTAAAGCAGAACCTGGCACGTGTATATTGCAGCACTTCGCGCAAAATATCTGCCCACATAAGCGGCAGTGATGCCTCCTCCTGATATTAAAAACATTTTGGGTGATGAAGTAAAACGAAACTTCCAGAAAAAATTTACCTGAAGGTGGAGAAACGCTCTTCGCACTGATAACATTCTTTACCGGTGGAATCAGGCATCCAATACTGTCCTTCAATTAGCACGCTTGCGAAAACTGCGTTAACAACAGAAGACGTAATGCTTACGGAAGTTACTCCTGTTATAGTCTATCAGTCCTTGCTTTGACTCAGATTTGAACATGTTGCTTAGCTTATCCGAAATCTTCCTCTGCTTGTTTTCATTGTCAAGGCTGTCTGAAAGGCAAAAATAAACGGAAAATAAGCACCACAGCATCAGCATAGCAAAGGTCATCACATTTCAGCGTGAATCTTCTCAACAATGGCTCATCAATGACAGACATATACCATATCACTTATCCATGAAATAATGTATACGAAACTGGTTTTTATGGTAATTCCATAATCTTGGAAACGCCCACAGAGATGATAATTTGTGAGAAAAGGCAATTGTCAATACAATGGGACACTAGTGCCCTGTCTTATATTGCATCTAAGTTCCCAAGTTGCCCGCTTTGTATTGACAAACATTTTTGCCAAGCAAATCAAATCAACGAAAGTGAAACTCACTACTACTTGGAGAAGGAGAAAGCAGAGACTTCACATCCTTGCGATTCTCTTGCGGATAAGGCATATTCTAAACAAGGCTCGAATAGTGATGAATAGCTTTCCGGGAGTTCAAAAGCACTTACAGAAATGTTGCTGCCACCATCTTCAGCGTTCACTGAGACATCACTATTACGCGAGTCAGCAACTACTGCATTCTGCTTTTCGGTGGTTGCTGAACCTTCTCCAAGGTAGAACGAAGCAGAGCCCGAAGTTTCGGGTTCTGAGGTGCTTTGAGGACGCCAAAAACGTCCAAATATACTTGATATGACACCTGAAAATTTGGCGAGAAAAAAGTTGCCCAGTTAACTAACGACTGCTTGGCATCATGTCTGAGGAGTTCTCTTCGACGGGAAGTGATTCCTAGAAGCATACTAATCTGGAGGACGTTTCCGCTAAGTTTAAAAGAAAGAAGAAAGAAGCTGAGAACTTCGCGACTATGTCACAAAGTGGGTCATTTCCCGAAAGATTATACCAGTGCTCAACCTGAAAGGGGAGCGAAACTAAAGTGTTTCCTTCGATGAACCCACTTCTTCCGGTTATTCTGTTGTGAAGTTGCTCCCTATCTAATTCAAACGGCATAATATGGGTTTGGAACACTCACTACTACTTCCAGCTAAATTTTCTTCGGCTGTCTCCTCCGGTAGTCGATTGAAGAAGGTGAAACCATTGGTACCACTGTCTGTTTTGGAGAGGCTCTCTGTCATAACACCTCACGCTGTAAGGGAAGGTTTGATGTCATTCAATGTGCGACCGCAATGAATTAGCCCATGTTCAGCTCCATAAATTCGCATTCTGACGATAATAAAACACAAAAGGTGAGCAAGAGGTAAATGAGAGGAGTATAAACAGAGGAGTCATGCTCATTCAGACACAAAGTTCGCAACTGCATTTAGGAAATACAATCAGGTGCAGGATATGGAAAAGAGCCGTCGAATCTGGTAAAGGCAAGGGGATGCCTGATATTAAGTCGAAAGTCTTGTGATCATCGGAATTTCTAAATTGTTGACGGCTTTAACAATCTTTGGGCTGGTAGCTTCTTGCGCTTCTCCACTGTTGAGCAAAGAACATTTAAATCGAATTCCAATCAGAACAGAAAGCTAGAAATTGTTTGCCAACAAAGAACTCAGTACTTATCAGTAGTCTACAATACTTTGTATACGAAATTCTCGATCCATGCTCAACTAGAACCACCACAATCAAAGAATCATGAGAATCCCAAGAGATCTGCTGCCAGCTATTGTGCCGATCAGTGCAGCACATCAAACAATTCCCTTTTTGTTAGAACTAAATGGTACTTGAAGAAAAAGAACGATGATCTCGCTTGTTAGTTTGAAGTTGAGTAAAATTTGTAAGTGATCTGAATAATGATTGAAAATTCAGTGAATCAATATCCATGTAGGGGGAAAACTGGTAGCAGCAAAAACCATAAACATAGGCCCATTCTTGAAAAGCATTCTTTCTGAAAACGAAAAAAGCATAATAAACTACTTAAAAGAACGAATTTAAGTAAGGGAACCAAAATCTCGAAAGGAGTTAGAGGAGGTGGAACTTGGCATAATCGCAAACTCACCGGAATTCAAATGGGGTCATGTCTGACATGCTCCAAAGCCACTTTTCAGATGCGCTGCGAAATGCTTGGCCATCTGTTGGTCAACTTGGGTAAATGAGGTTATCCGATCCTTTTTATGTTTCCCCTTTGTTGAAGTTTGACAGCCCTATCTTGTTTTATTACTTGGCTTCTTTCACAACTTCCAAATGCGTTAAAGATAAATCGGCTCATGAATAACTCGATGAAAAGGTGAAACGACTGCTTTCTCTTCACCAAAGAAATGGTAGCCGTAATTGAGGTTCCTAGTTCAAAACGAAAAGCTGGATTGTTGATAGTTTTGCTAGCTGTGGTTGAAATCCATTGCGTGAGAACAGTCTTTCATGAAGTTTCGTTATATTTGCGCTATTCCTAGCAATTATTGTCCCGCTGGGAAAGTGGATATTTGTATAACTTTATTGTTTTCCAGTGCTCTAGGCACTATTGCGCGACATGAATAATCTTCCGTTTTCTTCGGCAAATGCAGAGGGAAAAGAGCTGTCGCTGGACGATTACGATAGAGTGGGTTTTCTAATGTTTTCCGATTTTGCACTGTTGCTTAAGTTTCGTGAATCTCCTGTTAGGATTTTTTTTGTGTTTCCATTATTTCTTTTGGGTAAAACGTAGTTGGGGGGGGGGGGCACCCATCGGAAGGTCAGTATAACAGGAAATGAACTCAGTCAGCCCTTGTTATATCAGCACTGTATCAGATGCGTAGAGGATGATGGGAATCGACCAGCTTAGCTCTCTTATGCGGTTTCCGCTAAGGAAATTCAGTTTACCAAATAAGCCTAGGTAGGGTAGGGTAGGAGCACGTGGGTGGCTAGAATGATTAGCTCCTGCAAAAGAAAAGAAAAAAAGGAAGAAAACTTGCACACCGCGGTGCTCCTTCCCTACGAGAGCCCTTATTTAAAAACTGGCATGTCCGTGATATAACACGACATAACGCGTTTCATTGAGTTCATTTCTTGTTATACCGACATTGTGATAGGTGCCCCCCCCCCAACTACATTTTCACCTTTCTTTTTTGTTTTGCAGGTACGTACCCCTCACAAGTCCTTGGCGGATAATACAGAGCTCCGATTACGAGCTGGAACTCTTTCAACAGAGCTTAGTTGTCCAATATGTCTGGATCTGCTCACGCAGACTATGACTACAAAGGTAAAATCAAATTAGACTTCGTGGGTAAACTTCGTTTCTTCCTTCGTTTATACAAGTACAGTAATGACAATGCACCAAGATAAGAAATGAAGCATCCAAAGGGTGTTTTGGGAAAGCAGGGGGCTGCCATTTTGAGATAGCGAAGTATTTAAGGCAATTTTTCTCGTTTTTCCCTTTTACACATGTTGTCATGGCGCTTTCGTTTCTCTCCACCGTACATTTGTTTACAGTAAATAGTTCTGTAAACAAATGTAGTCTTCCCAATCGTGCTATTCTGACCTGTTGTAGCGTAGTATAGAGCAGTCATGTCTGATTTTGATGGCTTCATGCCTAGCATGGCGCTAAGTTATACTTCGAAGGTGTAATTTGGAAATGCGTAACGCTGAAAGAAATAGAGTAGTTCTGTAATATGAACTACATTGTGCAGAATTGTCCCATATCATCTCTTGCAGTGAAAAAAATGGCCATTTCCAGTGATGGCTCTTGATTTTTACTTCTTGGGCTACTCACAGAAGCTAAAGTTCCCAGTTATTCGTTTTCTTTAACAGCAAAAATACTTGCATGCTTGAACATGTTTTTCTAACTTCATCTCTTAACCTCACTGTTCCTTTATTGTTTACAGTTTTCTCATTTTATTATCATTTATGAGCATCTTGTTTACTGCAGTAGCTACACTCAGCAATTAGCCTTTGCCAAAGCTCATGACTCCAATTTACCAATTCAGGAATGCCTCCATCGATTTTGTGCGGAATGCATTACGACTGCACTTTTTCGTGGGAACAAGGAGTGCCCTACCTGTCGCAAAAAGCTGGTCTCCAAGAGATCTCTTAGACCAGATCCAAACTTTGATTCTTTAATCGCGAAGGTAACGTTGAATTCATTCCATAACCAACGTTTTAATCGCCAGAAATTTCTGGAAAATACTGCCTCAGCATTCCTGCAGCAAAGTTGCGGAATTCTTCCCCTCCCCGATATCTCGTATAAGCTTAGGCAACACCGTTTTGCGATGGTATTTTTCAGATATGGCCAGACCGAAAAACATACGAAGACCTCCAATCAGTTGCTTCGGAAAAATTTGCCGCTCAAACCAATATGGACGCTTTGCGCAGTTCAATAGAAGAAGGCATAAAGGCGCAAGAAGTGAATAGGCGGAAACGTGTTCAAGGTTCATATGAGTGTGAAAGTAAGTATTGGAACTATAATTTTGTGCTGCATCCTGAATTCAGTAGGCCAGCCATCAGTAGGTCATATGTTCATCTTTGTTTCGTAGAGCGAAAGAAGAAACGTGAGGAGGATGGGAACACCAATGGGACGGAAGACTGTGCCGCTGGAGACAACGAATCGAATTCGCCAACGGAAGAAGATGCGGGTCAGCGCAACTGTCTTTTTTTCCTCTGACTGAGACGTTTTCAACTTCCGCGTGCCACGATCCTATTCGAATAATTAAGCGAATCTCTGTCTGTTAATTGAGGAACCTAGCAGCGCTCTGATTGTTCAGACACCGCAGTACCGATGTCATGGTCAAGTACGGCTACCACGGCTCCTGCTGCTGGCTTTTGCAACGACTTTGTCGATGAAGAAGAAGTCATTGACGAACTGGATCATTTGACAGAAGTAGGTGCAGGTTATGACTTTCGCAGCATTCCGTAGGAGAATATCCGGCTAACAGTAACGACAAAACTGTATTTGGCGCTGTATAGCTGTTGTCATCAGGTGCAGATTGGATATGATTCTGCAACATTGGCCTACGAAAAGACGGAGGTGATTGTTGTTGTGGGGTGGATCTGCTTGGTTTGGTGGTGGATACCTGCATATTTGAACAGCCTATTATCTTTTACAGGAAGAATTGCAAGCTGAACTTGACGAATTGGAGGAAGTGGAAATTGAAGAAAATGAAGATATTGAACAAGAATCAAAGAGTGATGATGATAGTAAGTTTATGTTTTTTGAGCGTTGCTTTTCCAAAAATCATTAAACTCTTATTCCAGCTGACTCTACTTCATCAACCTACAGCAGCTCTGGTGCATCATCGCTTGACTCTTCTTTACCGTCTTCTTCTCTCTCCCTTTCTGACTGCAGTGACGATGCTCCTACATCTCAACCATTCGTAAACGGCAGTCCCAATGGGACCCCTGGAGTGGAGGCTAGTGTTCTCTCTTTTTTTTTTTTNTGCGCTTCGTTCCTATCGTCGTCGGAACTGGTCACGCCGCACGCGTCGCGCGGGCACAGTGCACTGCAATTTCGAACACTTTTGAGCCTGCAAGTGAATTTTTTTTACCGAGCATGGACATTTGAATACTTTTTTCTACATGGGAAAACTCGACATGCCTTATTTTACTTCAATTTGCCGCTTCTGGTAGCAGATCTCATTCATTTCTCAATGGCGCCCGCGTTCTAAGTTGCATTCAAACACCCGCGCTCGGTAATAACTCAAACCCAAAAGCCTTTGCACGATTCAAACGTGTCCATCTCGAAATCGCAGTGGTCTGCGCCGTGCTCGACGTGTGAAGCATGACTCGTTTCAACGACGATAGGATCGGACATTACCCTTTTTGTTATAACGGTTCTACTTCCGATTTTGAACCCATTTAAAGTAAGCTTAGGATTTCATCGTTATGGTTGACATTTCTGTGTACTATGTCGTGAAGATCTTTAAATTTGCAGAGTGTAACGCCTCCTATGGTGCTAGCGAGCAGCGACGATACAGCGCAAACTACTATCACGAGTTTGAATCCAAACACTTCCGATTTGTCACCATTAACAAGTGAATCGCAACACAGTTCTAATGCTGCAGTCGAAATCCAACCGCCTGTCTCTGTTCTTCATCCCAAAGAGAGATTGAACCAATGGTTAGATGAAAACCCATCTTCGCCTCATCTCCCAGAGGAAAACATGAATGATCCTCTCCAGAGAAGGGTGAGTTATTTTCTTCTCACAGCCACTCAGATGAAAATCCGAATTGTTCGAACTTTTCCAATACTTTGTAGAATAAAATCCATGGTTTCCAGTCTCCGGCTTAGACAATAGTCACATTCTTTCTGCAACTGTCCGTTCAGAACTACTACCGTGCCCAAAATTTGGGAGAGCATTTAATGTTTTAATCTTGCGTAGCTTTTTGTATTATTTTTCATGTGGTGATTCGATTTGCTATTACTCAGACTAGAGTATTTTATATCCGCTCAAAAAATATAGCTCCACTTTCTTCACAGGTTAGAATACGTAATGCTTGACTAACGCACGGTTCGATTTTATCAGCGACGCCTACACTGTATAGTTCTCTAGGCAGGGCACCGTGTTCAAAGAAATATATAGGGGGAATCGTCATAAAACTTAATTTATCGATGAGGGAAACATGGGAAAACTTGTGATGGGTACTCCTTGGTCGTCACTTTTTCTATCTGCATGTTGTTGTCTCTCTGAATCTGCTGTTTGAATTTCATTAGAATCTGTTCTTTACACCTGAGCCATAAGAATAGAATTCTGGTATAAGGATAATATGCCCACTGTGTATTCGTTGTGAGTAGTTCAGTAGAGCTCGTTCATATTCTGCCCTTTTTTAAAATCTTGACCGCAGGCCTGTGATCAGGAGGTTTCCTTAAGCTTCCTAAATTGTTTCAACCTTTACATGCATCCGGTTGTGCTTTGTGTTCAAATGAGTTCGGAGAATGAATCATCGTTTACATACAGACGGATGACTCTGATATGATGGATCCTCCGATGTCCGGCATGGACGAGATCGAAGCGGAGCTACTGCCGTCAGCTGCATTATTACGCCGACAATGTCCTGCAGAATTGACGTCACCGCGTTATATTAGGACGAAGCATGACACCACAAGTGAGTGCATATCCGTTTTTCACGCATTTTTTTTATTTCCATATGGGCCTGAAGGATTTCAAGAGATGCCCTCAGTATATGACTATTTACGCCTGCGCCCCTTTGGAAGCTGCTTTCATACTTCTCGTAAGCTACTCTCCGGCAGCCGGCTTCAACGCTTCCGGCTAGTTCATGCGGCGCGATAGATTGATATCACCAAGTTTTCCCCGTCAGGTCAGGACTAGCACTATTGGATACACTTCTAGCACGCTTCAACATGACCTCCGGACGATGGCATAACTGTTTACTCAAGACCAACTTTTGTGATTGTATTTATCATTTCAATTGCCTATTGCAGTGGCTTTTCGGTTGACGTTCCAATGAATGAAGAAAGACAAAAGAAAATTTGGTACAGCATTTCATCACGAAAAATTAAAGACTTTTGTGTTCAAACCATATGTTTTCAGTGGAGCATTTGTCGGAATTTATACATTTACGCGTCATGGAAGAAGTGCAGTCCAATCAGTGTGATTTTGATGCTGATCCGGTTCCAACCATTCCACGTCCTCAGCATTTCTATGTGTTTGTAAGTTTTTATTCATATTTTGCTTCATCTGAAGTCACTTTCATACCTTTCGACATGCTGTCAGCGCCTAGAAGCCTCACTGTCATGGGGCCGTTTTCTATGTTCTCACTTCAGAGTCGAAATGATGGGCATCACATCCGGAAAATCTTTTTGCACGAGACTATGCTAACCGCGCAGAGTGCTATGACGAGAGACGATCACTTGGTTGGTTAGATTTCTTCTTTAAATAACTTTTCTTTTTGGTGCTTGTGCTTGGATTCAGTTGAGGTAACTAACTTTTGCAGATAATTTTCTTCGACACAGAGCCGCCACAGCTTCGCGAAGAAAAATCTAGTGTTCTCGAAGACGTTGTTCATGCACATTTTCTCAGTTTACCGCATGTTTAACTTTCACCGTTTAGCTTTAGACTCATTCACAGCTTTTATTGTTATTTGTGATAACGGCACCATGTGTCCCTTGTGATACCGAATTATATATAGAAGGCAAGTGCTGTTTATCAGCATTTCTTCAATTTTGACTTTGACTGATCTCCAATTTCCATCCATATGTAGTAAGAAGATGAAGTACTCGTCACTAATTACATTACTTGTTACATTACGTGTTTGTGATGTTTCTCTTTTTCGTTTAGGTTACTATGAAGTGTGCGTTTTACGACTAATCGATTTTCAGGTGTTTGGGTGTGTTTTATACAATATGATCTTGGCCTTCTAGTGATTAGCTTCGGCTCTCGTAAAGCTGTGCTCATCAAATTAAGGCACGAATTGTAATGAAGATTGTTTACCGAGTATACCACTACATAATTGTTAAGCAAGGGAAGATGTACATCATCACACTGAAGTCTGGCCACACTAGGTTGCTGATCGGGAGGAGCATGTATTTCTTCACGAATCTTTTCGACTGCAGATAATCCTGCCTGGCAGGAAACACCAAACTGAACATGAAATAGTCATTATCACGCAATATTATTTCTGAAGTTACTCAGTAGGGCTTTGAAGTCACAAAATCAAGCAGAATCAGGGTGAAAAAATTTTTAGCTTCACGCAGAAAGATGATTTATGACAGTTATGAGCTCTAAGGGTGCAGTTCGCGGGAGAAACGGCCTTAATAGGGCGTATTATAAACCTAAAACCGACTTAGCTGATGTACATACTCAAGACGGACGAGTCCCCACGGCGTTTTAGAGACTGTGGGTGTGCGGGACATAAGCACCAGGACCAAATGTTGCAGGCAGGCAGATTACTGTAACCAGTTGTACGCAATGGCCTACATACATATTAGGACAGCATTTGCCGTCACATTCTCATCCAACCCCCAATTTTACCCATTTAGGCCTTATATTCCTATAAACATTATTCGTCTGGAATTGGTCCCCAAAATTATGGTTAAGGTGGATTAACAATGACAACTCCAATCCTACCTCAGGTATGAGAAAATCGAGTAATGGGTGTAACAGAAAAGCATGCCATATCATTCAACCATGATGAATATACAGGTTGCGCCATAAATATGGTAACATTTTCACGAAAGTCCTCAATTACCTTGTTTTCGGGGTTTTTCCAAAAATAACCTTCTCTTATGTTTATGATATCCTCCCTTAGCCCTCATATCTGTTCTGGTGCTCTCAACTTGCTTGTTTTCGAGAAAACGGTGAAGCTTCGCAGTCATTTAACAGCCGTTCTGTCTTTGTGCGCATTTGGTGAGTTCACTTCCGGGATCT